TGTGCAAAGCATGTATAAATCATATGGTAGGGCGGGCAGGAGGGATCTCTTCTCCATTCTATTCCGTTTTACGTGATGTTTACTGGTAATTGAAATTAACATCTTCATATTGAGTATTGACTAGGGTTTGCAGCCAAGAAACGTTTCGCAAAAAAATTGCGAAAACATGCTAAAATTTTCGTTCTCATTTCGCAAACTTTTTCGCAAAATTTTGCATTTTTTCGCGAAAATGAATGAAACGAATATGCGAAAACGATGCGAAATTATTTTCGCGAATGGGAAAAATTTCTTTAAAAAATGTTTCGGGAAAATAAAAAGGTGCAACAATTAATTGCGCAATAAAACTTATGAAATTATTTTCTCTTATTGCTCAGTATTTGAAGTTTTATGATGTCATTTTAATAATTTCTCTTCCTTTACTTTATTAAATGTTCGATGAAGAGAATTTGATGAGTCAGCCAATAAAAATTCCGTATTTTTTTCGAAATTTGGTGTTTTTTCGCATAATTTCCGTTTTTTTCGCGAAATTTTTGCCGTGTTTTTTCGCGAAATTTTCGCATTCTTCTTTTCTCATTATTTCGGGAAACTTTTGCATTTTATATTTTGCGAAAATTTCGCATTTTTCGCGAAACAGATTAAAGCAAAATTTCGCGAAATCGTGAGCAAATGAAATGCAAAAAAGACCAAAATTTTCACGAACATTTTTTTCTGCGAAAAATATAAAATTATCACGAAAAGATTTTTCCTTTCCGCTGCGAACACTAGTTGACCAAGGTTATAATTCAAGGCAAGTTAATTGCAGTTGCGTATACTCTGCGTACATATTGAAACCAGTTCTCTCTGGAAGGAATTTATAAACAAGAATAGATGTATCAGTGTTCGTTTAGTATCCGAGGAGGATGTTAGTTTCCTATATGACCAGAATATTTTATTGATGTTTTATGTGAAAGATGGATCATGTTAGGCTGTGACATCCGTCTTGTGTTTACATTACCACCAAGCACTGCAGTACACAAGATGCGCACTACTCTGAAATAACTTTCCTTACATTAAAACCTTGGCATTGACTAGGAATTGCCTTATCTGATGCGTCAAAACTGAAATAACGTGTACTGCAATGAGAGCAGAACACAATCAAAGAATCCAGGGACAAACCATTATTTATATGGGGAGGCGGAATATATAAAGACCTGTAGCTTATTATCGTGAAAATATACGCTTTTCAGATTTTAACATACTTCATAATATGTTCTTGGACATTAACTGTAACTACACAAGTTTCAGAAAATGACCGGCGTTTCTTAAAAATTCCTTTCACCTTGTGGAAATTTAACCGGGGTTTAACTCAGAGTGCTAAATAAAGGGATGGGTATCGGAACGGTCGTTTTTTCATGAGATTCCATCGTTCCGTTAAAAAGAACGAACACATAGAACGCGTTCTATAAAATATTGGAACAATTATTAAAAGAATGAACTAAGTAGGACCGGAAATTGCTTTAAAAGAATATATAAACCACGAACACGTTCTTATTATAAGGAACACGTTCTTATTATAAGGAACACGTTCCCATTATAAGGAACACGTTCCTATTATAAGGAACGCGTTTTAAGTCGGGAATTTAAATCAGGAACGTGTTCTGGTAGAAATTTTAAAAAGGCAAAAATAAACAATTCGTTATATATTGTATTATATATACCTTGAGAACCAGAAAACTGTGGAATAGAAATTCGATATTTAAGCAATTTTCAAGTGTTTTGTATCTTGTTGCAAAGCAAATATTTCCACCAGAGTTAATTGTTTAAAAATCACTTTTATACGTGAAATATGGTCTGTGCAACTAGTAAACTGATCAGCTAGTAAACTAATCCGCTGTGCACACTCGTGCATGTGCACAATCAATTGCTGTGTCTCGTGTTCACTACGAAACTTTATAGTAGGAAGACGACAGGAAGGTCGTCTTTGAAATAATTTGTAATTTGCGGCTTATATCATTTGGAAACATTATTTTAGAAGTAAAATTCTAGAGTTAATAATCACAATTTTTCCCCCTAGTCCTGGTATTTCCAAAGTGTGGTCCGACTAATTTGTACTGCCAATATTAGCGGTGATATTAAGAATTTCGTTCAGATTTTTATTTATCAAATAAAACCAAAATTATCAAAATCCGTACAAAATTCTTTATATCTCCGGTAATATTAAAAGAACAAAAAAGGCAGACCAAACTTTGGAAATGCTTAGACTAGGGACATTTTGTGATTGTAAACTCTTTATTTTTATTTCTAAAGTATACACAATTCATAAGAATAAATTTATTCATATACAGATGTATATATTAAAGACACTAATTAAAAAATTAACCTAAATTATTATCTCTTAATTAAATTGTCAGAAATAATTCGTCTACATTTTTCTAAATTATTCTTTAAGTTTGAAAAATATTTCGTATACACTTGTTTCAATTTGTAAACTATAAATTTGAATATGTTCGTATATGTTGAATATGTTTTCCAGATCTATTCAAGCATGAAAAATAGATGAACTCAGTAAAGTCTACATATAGAGCCGGTCTGTTTTACAAATGAATTTATCAAAAAAAAAATAAAGTTTGTTCATTGTTCGTTATTTATTCTATACAACACCACCGTTCACAATATATTTTGTTCGTTTTGGAACATTTAGTTGATTAACAAAAACGATGTCAATCTCGAGTTTCTATGAAAATATGATTTGACTAATTAAATTAAAGTTTAATGTCCTGGATTTTTCTTTGGGGGAGCACATATCATTTTGACATGATGGAACCTAAAAAATTTATTATGAAGAAACGAAAATGAAACGATCGTCCTTTCCCTACTGGGGAACTTGAAACCAGGATTTGCTGGGGGGGAGGGTCAATTTCCCCCTCTAAATCCCACGTTTACTGTCAAAACAATTGATACATCATTAGGAGCTCTTATGCTATACTTTTAGAATCTTTAAAAAATTTGCAAACTTGCAAAAATTTAATGTTTTTACAAAATCCAGTTATAAAGTTAAAATGTTTGCAAAAAAATGTCCAAAAATGATAAAGTATACATTTCTAAAAACCCTTGACCATTCCATTTTAAATGTTCAAAAAAATTGCAAAATTTTAAATAACCTGCTGTGTTATTAAGACAAATTTAGAATATGCAAATAATTTACTAAAACATCCTTGCAAAACTTGTTCTATCCGTTTTTTTGTGATATAGGCTTTCCAAAAAGCAAAAAATTATCAAGATCTGACAACTGAAAGTGGGTCAAAACAAAGATTTAGTTTGTTACAGAAAAAAGTAGTCATTCAGGTGATGTGCCTGAGGAATCAGGCGCGCAGTTAGAATACAAGCCCAGTGTTAGACCTGAAGGGAGGGCTATGGGTATTTACAGTGAAACCCTTAATAACGAATACATCGAAAGAATTCATCAAGTGTCGTATTCTTCACTTTCTGATAATGGAATGCTGCAGATATTTAGTTTTATAATTTAATGATTATATGGAACTCTTTAAACTGTTCCCGCATATTCATGGGTATTTATTTATTTTCGCAAATACTGAAATTTACAAAATATAGTATAAAACTCATTGAAAAATTGTCAAGACGACATTTGACAACGTTTTCCGATGTATTCGTTATAAAGGGTTTTACTGTATGAAAATTTAAATTGACACCCCCTCCCACCAGCAGGAATACATGGTTAAAAACGATATTTTTTTTTAATTTCTTTTTTTAAAACTGAAGCATCTCCCCACTTGTCAGAATACTAATTACGCTCTGTCAATGAGGTTTATTGTAAATTTTGCGGATCTTTAATGATTTTCTAAACCGATCCGGCCCAAAGTTTTTGTGGGACCTCACATGATCCCAGGGAAGGTTTTTGGATGGCAGGATAAAATAGTTTCCTGAACAAATTTCGATTTTTCAAAATTAAAGAAAAACAATTGACAAATCTGCGATATTTTTTTTAATGTTCAGACATTTCTGATGAGATAACTGTTGATAAATCATATATGTATAAATAAACATGTATATAGATGTATTATTGTTGTAGATATATCATATATGTATAAATATACATGTATATAGATGTTTTATTGTTGCAGATATATCATATAAATGTATAAATATAGATGTATATAGATGTATTATTGTTGCAGATACACCAACAATTGAAAGTTAAAATCGAAGAGAAGTGCGAATCGTCCTATAACCCTCAGTACTTTATATTTTTATTTGTTTTTAAATGTTATTTTATGGTTCTTATTTTAAGCAGAAAGCAATTAAGCCGAAAGACACAAACACATGTTTTCTAATTTCTACAGTTAGCATCTGGAGAAAATGTTTATTTGACGTAAAATGCTTGAAATGTTCAAACCTGAACAGACCATCTCAATTATTATCATAATTTTAAAAACTTTCCTGAATAAATTCAGTTTATTACAAAAATTCAAATAGAAAATCTACTAAAAATATCTTTTAGATACAGTGATCAACACCTGTAGGTTCGAAATTTCAAAAGTTTACATCATCAGGTTACACAGATATAGAGATTAAAAAGTTAGAATTTGTGGCAAAGACTCAACTTCTTTGAGCCGGATCCAGACCATTGGTAACGTAAACCACTTCTAAATTTGAGCCGGATCAATACCATTGATGACATAAACCACTTCTAAATTTAAGCCGGGTCAATACCATTGATAACATAAATCACTTCTAAATTTGAGCGGATCAAGGCCATTGATAACATAAACCACTTCCAAATTTGAGCCGGATCAATACTATTGATAACATAAATCACTTCTAAAATTAAGCCGGATCAATACCATTGATAACATAAACCACTTCTAAATTTGAGCCGAATCAATACCATTGATAACATAAACCACTTCTAAATTTGAGCCGGATCGGTTCAGCCGTTTTGCCATTCCTTGGAAAAAAGAAACCAAAAATTAAAATTAAATAAATTATTGATTTTCAGATCAAGTTAAATACTTGTGAAAATGATGAAACCTAGTTTAATGATTGGATGTATTGCTGGATTCTTTTTATTCTTTTGGGCTTTTATGCTCGGCTCAAACTACCCTGGCATAATGGTCTTTATTCTTTATTCTAAGTTTTTTCATAATTTATTCTTAGTTTTGTTATATTTTTATTCTTAGTTTGTTTTGCTGTTTTTTTTTGATATTTTTTATACTTTTATTTTTAATTCGGAATTAATTTTTTTATACTTTAATTTTTAATTTTATTCATAGTTATATATTATTTTTTATTTTTTGTTTAACTTGTTTTCTTAGTTTTGATATATTTTAATTCTTAACTTCAATATACTTTAATTCTTTTTTCTTAACTTATATTTTCAGTTTTCTTATACAATTTTTCTCACTTTTGCTATACTTTATTCTTAAATCTAACATAGCAACATGTAAAGTGTTTTTTTTTCTTGATATCTGACATAACGACAGATAAAGGTTTTTCTGTTATTCTAACATAAGAACATAGACAAATGTGTATTCTGTTATTCTTAGTTCTAACATAACAACACATAATAGTTTTATTTTTTCATTCTTTATTCTAACATGAAAAAGGTTTATTCTTTCATACTAAATTCTAACATAACAACAAACATAAAGGTTTATTCTTTTATTCTGAATTCTAACATAACAACATACATAAAGTTTTATACTTTTTTAGGCGAACAGTTTAGAATTTTTGAAAAATACTGATAATTCTAATAAAAACAATGTACAACCACAAGATGAGGTAAACAAAGGCTGAAGGGATTGATCCCAAATTCTAAACAAAGCAGAAAACATGATTGCGATTTGAATTTTCTTAAAAATTCAGTCTAGAAGTCAGATTGTGTTTTTCCAAAAAAAAAAATGTTTACATTATTTAAAAAAAGGAGATTTATAAAACTCCAAATCTTTTGTAAAAGTTTTCATTCATTCACCGAAAATTGCATCTTTTGTGATAAGAACTATTTTATACAATTATTAAAATAAATTCTGGGACGCAAAAATAAATTAATCCCGGTGTTAAAGAACATGCTTTTTCATAAATTTGTTTCCGAATTATTTTGAAATCCTTATTTCTTAAAAAAATAACTATTAAAAAATTGAAAATTTAGTGTTCCTGTGCGCTTCCTCCCTCCAAGGTAAGATTTTTAAAACATCTTTATAATTATTTTTTTTAAGTTACCAATACTGTCAATATATAGTCAGGGCAGTAACTGGGTGTAGAGTGGAGGGGAGGGGGGGCATAACCGATTGAAACGACATTTGGGTTCTAAGATAAAGGGATTAGAAAATCACAGTTTGTGACAAAGACTCAATTCCTTTTTGATTAAAATTAGACATTCTATAGCTTTATATCTAGATATGCTTTTAAAACACACCAAAAGTCGTCTTTTGAACTAAATTTCGGTAACACTGTATCTCTATACATATTTTAGGTGGATGCTATTGGTGGATGGGTTTATAGTAAAGGAATATCAAAATATTATTCAGCTTTCTTCTCCGTAATATGTTTATACCCCTTTAGGGGTATTTTATAAAATAATGTTAAAGCTTCCACTTGGTCAAAATAGAAAACCTGAATTTTTTATTAAATTTATTGTTTTTTATTGAAATTATCGCATTTATCAACTAACAGGAGCAATTCAAAACAATTTTGTAACAAAAATAAAAAAAATAAAAAATTAATATAGAATTAAGGATGGGCAATGTTTTTGTCAATGAACAAAATTATTCGTGAACGATGAAGGACAAACGACTTGGATCGTTCAGAGATTTGAAAGAATTTGTTTTTTTAAAACGATTGTTTTTTTCAAAATAATCGTTTGTTGGAAAAAAACAATCGTTTTAAAAAACTTCATAGTTTTTTTGCTGAACTAACAATCTATTTGAACAATTATTTTTGAAAAAAACAATCGTTTTTAATGAACAAACAATTTTACTGAATGAACACTTTCACCGAAAGAATGATTTTACTGATAGATCGCTCACTAAGAAAAAAAATTGAAGAAAAAAACGGTAATTTTAAGAACAAACAAATCATTTTTTGAGAGATTTAACAAAACAGAAAAGAACAAAATGGGTCGTTCACGAACGATGAACAAACAAAATGAAAAAAACCAAATGCGCAAATCTCAAAGTGTAAAGTGTAATGTGGATTACTAATTTTCTCAATAAATGACATGACCTTAATTTGTCATGATATTAACAGAAACAATTCAGAATCATCACACCAGGTATTTTTGTATCAATATAATAAAACAAGACATTCATATACATGGTTCGTATAGCCTGCAAAACAAATGGAACGATTGGGCTGAAATTTTTTTGAGGACATTTATGGGTGGCCGGGAGGTGTTATAGGCTAAAAAAATCGAAATTTTCTTTTACAATTTTTTTTTCAACATTTTTTTCAAGGGCAATGCTGGGTCATCAGCTAGTTTTTAATAAAGCAATTAATTACATATATGTTTCCTTAGATTTGATGACGGTATGGGTAAAGAAATTGTAAGACTTGTTTTGAAAAATACTCCTAAAAAAGGTAACTAATGGGTAGCTCAAAATTTATTTACAGATGAAATACGAACAATCATTTTTTCTTTCAAAATTTGATTTTTATAAATAAATACGATTATATTATATTCAGGCCCTAAAACTATCTTGATAAACTGTAATGGGTGATAAGTTTTTTAGTCTTTAGTCATCAATTTTGACTCTCTTTGAGGCTTTCACCTGTGACGACTGACGCACCTGTTCAATAACAATTTCTTGCTTTCTAACATTTCTTCCCCTTGAAAAATTTCTAGCTACGGGCCTGAAATTTATATTAGACTACTAATAAGTAAAAAGTCTGGCCCTCCTTGGGCCGCCGCGCCCCAGCAAAGCTGCTCTTGTAAGCCCCGGCGGACATCGGATAAAAGGCAGGCCAGTACATGACATGCGGACGGTGCAAGGAATCGATCCAGTTCGAATTAAATTTGTCTCTACTCCTAAATGTCATGAAAATTTAGAGAATGGTAAGAAGCCAACTATTGGTGATATAGGAGCTGGTGTGGGTCAGTTTGGAGCCTGGTTAAACTCGAAGGTATTGATGTACATATAAGGTTGATACGTTTTCGTACGTTTTTTGCCTTTATTTTCTTCCAAGGTTCATTGTGTAACAGAAGCAAATGTTTTTAATCAGAATTTGCAATTTCTTACATTATGTTACTGGTTGGCCCCCAACTAACAAAAATCCGTGGAGAAAACAAGATTATCTGGTGTATTTTACACGAGTGACCCGTGAATAACCAGTGATAATTCACGCGTTGACAAGGTCGACGATTTTATCATGGGTCTAAGACCGAGTTTTTACACGAGGCAAACTTGAGTTCATTTCACGAGATGTACACGTGATTTTTACATAAAGAAATTGATTTTCTCCCATCCACTTAAAATACATTTTTAAATCCCCGGAAAGGGTGTGAGGAATAAATAGTTGATTTTTGATATATATAAATATGTTATAGAACTTACTGTGTAAAGCTATAATCATTACAAAATGTTTAGAACCTAACAATTTAAGTTTATATCTTTTACATCAAATATCTGAACATACTTTAATTGATAAATTTTTACATATTGATATTTCAAGTTTTCAGAATGTTCAACTATGTTGTGTTTATGAACGGAAGTCCCTTTCTACTTATATATAAAAGATGGATATTCTAAAAAAGGGTTGTTGAGAAATATACAATAAAAAAATCAACATGAAGCTTTTCTATTCTTTGGTCATGATTGTTCTAATCTGAAAAATTTATGTCAGTTAAAATATTTCATTTTGCTTCAATATACTTTTAGTCTCTAAAAGATGAGCAGAGACACCAAGTGTATATAGGGTGAAAAATCTGTAGAATATGCAAGATCTGTTTACATATATAGGGTGAAAAATCTGTAGAATATGCAAGATCTGTTTACATATATAGAGTGAAAAATCTGTAGAATATGCAAGATCTGTTTACATCTATAGGGTGAAAAATCTGTAGAATATGCTAGATCTGTTTACATTTAGGGTGAAAAATCTGTAGAATGGACTGGATTTGATGGTGGAAGTAATGTGAATTCCTTCTGCGGTAAAAATGTTTCCCTCCAAAATAATGATGTTATAAAAGGTAAAATAAAAAAGGTTAAAAAAAGATGAAATAGAATTTTTTAGTAATTTCCAGTAACCTGCCCTTAAAAGAGGAAAATGCCCTATTCACAACGGTACCCTTTAAACCATTATCTTATCAAAATTGTGGAAGAAATCATTGTTTTGCTTTGAGTTTGAAAAGTGGTTAAATCACTTTAAAGAGAAACAATTAAACTAATTAACTTAATTATAATTATCTCTAGCAAGAATTCTTGGCCAAACTATGCTTTTAAGTGTACCGTTGTCATTCAGACAGAGTCACTTGAAACTACTTTTATATATTTATTATATTAACCTTTTTCTTTGAATTTCAGAAATATGTAAAAACTATTAATATATTACTTTTAAAGAAGATCTTTAAGATCAATATCTAAAATTCATCTCTTTAAACATTAATAACGATTTTTTTAGTTCCCAAGGTGTGTTACCTAGATGCCAGCATACCTGTAAATTTAGAAAGTAAGATAGGATCACAAATATTCAGTGGGACCCATTATACTTTGAAATATGAAGGAGACATTAAAAAGGAGTGTTAAAATGGAAGAGGGTATAGGCTGACATCGAATTAAATTGTTGCACGTATAAGGAGAAAAGGGTTAAAAACGACGCATAATGTTATAAAACGTTCTTCGGTGTGAGTCGTTTTAAACCCTTTTTCCTTAAATGCGCAACAGATAAAAGTAAAATTAGTAGATTTCGATATCGAATTCAATTCGATTTCGATTTCAATTTGATATTGAAATCCATTCGATAACATCCTGTACACGACTCTCGATTTTCGAGAACACTTCTTTTCAGCAATCTCATGTGTATTCAATGTTTTTTTAAAACGAGTCATTTTTGTAACTTTAAAACAAACTAACTACGCAAAATGTCGTCTTTCTATTTCACAGTTTTGCGGGTCCGATTGTATATTTATATTTGACAAAGGAACTGATTACTCGTCTCAAAATTAAAAATTTGAGTATTTGATTTCTAGCAAGAATAATAGTTTGACATATCAAAAGGTCTACGACAGCAGGCTCACAAAAGAATACAAAATAGATAGTGATCATTTTTGTATTACAAAATGCATGGAACACAGCGTTAGGAATTCTTCAAAACAGTTCAGTCTTCAAATTGGTTGGACTTGCAAACAAACTGACCTCCTTCCAATTGTACAGAAGACAATGTTTAATTTTTAATCGGAGTACTAAGTCAGCCATGCTCATAATAATAATTCTAAGGAAGTGTTGGACAGATTCAACTCATTTCGATTTCTAAGTAGGACACAAAAATATAAGAATTTCAAACTTTAATTATTTTTTTTCAAAATTATAAATTTTTAATTCATTTCTTTTTTAAAATTCGAAATTTTTTTTATTCCAACGGGTTTTTAAAGTTACGTGGGCACCTCCATCAGCTAATTATCTATATTATTTCTATTTTGAAGATTTTGATGCGCTTGGCGCCCCTTTTGACTGGGTTGTGAGTATAGAAGTAGGAGAACATATCCCAGCAGAATACATGATGATCTATATAGGCAACATTTTTATACCAAAACAATTCAAGTACTGTGGCGTAATTTCAAGAGAAGAAACAATATACGGGATATTGTCAAACAGTCTTATATCTTCAACTTTATTTATCAGATATAGAGATAAAGGGTATCATTGTGAATCAGGCGACGGGTTTTCCCTCTTTTAATGAAAGTTCAAATTTGTATCTTTGCTTTAAGTAAACTGATTAACACTATTTACCCTGGGGAGAAGACCCCCCCCCCCTATATTAAACCTGTCATGTAACAAGACGTCATCAATGCAAATAGCGTTAATATACACAATAATTAAAAATCTTAAAGAATTGATTTTCCAAAAGTTGAGTAAGCAAGTACTCTGTCCAAAATGTTATTTTTTAATCCTTATATCTTGTCGACCTGGGACCGAATTGAACAAAAATTTAAATACAATGAAGACGACTTTGGTTTAAAATTTTGATGAATAACAATCCGCTAAATAGCATGGATATAGACGTCAAGAGAATCAGTCAAATAAAAAATATTGTCTTTGATTACTTGGAATTCGATAAAAGCTTGTTAACAATTATAATATAACTAAAAAGTCGTCTTCATTGTATTTTTATAATCGCTTACCACTGTGTGTTGTTATAATTAGTATTATTCCAATTTTCATCATTAATCTGTTAATTTTAACATTAATCAAGGATATTTACATAAAAATGTGTCCTCACAGATAATTTGATTCGGGTAAGTAGATTGTTATAGTTTGTTTACAGTTTCTGAAATATATTGTTTAAGAATAATCAGAAATCAAAATCATAAGTTATTTACTTTGTGAAGATTACCTGAGTTTCTTCAATAACAAAACTGTTCCCAGCCATAAAGGGAGTGTTCACCAAAAAGGGGGTATAGAAAGATTTTAAATTGAATTCGGTAAAGATCGCTACATTTTACATTGAGAAAATGGTTAAAAACGTCTAATATTATAAAATTTCACAGTAGTTTTAAGAAAAATTTTATTAACCACTATCTTAGTGGATTAATGCAACACCGTGAATTTGTATTGACACAACACTCTTGGGTAAAAGACGTTTTTTACCATTTTATCCTTAAATACGCAACACAACTGAAGTAAACTTAGTAGAAACCAATATCGAATTCAATTTGATATCAGCCAATTATACCCTCTTTCATTACGCAGCCGGCCTTACCATGTTGTTGAGAATTTTAGGGATGTCTCAATAATTTCTAACAGTGCAATTTGGAAGTAAAACTGGTTTTCTCAGATACAATTTCCAAAAAAATATGGTTGTTTTGTATTTGAGCTGAGCAAGTATGGAATTATTATCTCCTGGGCAGTAGTTGGACAAGGTGGACATGGACATGTTAATACAAGATCTAATGAAGATATTATTCAGGTATTTTAGAATTACATGTATTGCTTCTAGATATAAATACATTATGCAATCGTTGCAGAATGATTTGAGCATGGAAGTGCTCTGAAAAATTTTACACGAGATTTAAATCAAGATGTACGTAGATTCAGCCTGCTTATAAAAAGTCACATCAATTTTTAATACAGGGTCGACTTTGAAGTGTCACAACGCCCTGGGCTTTTATTGTACCTCTTGAAATCACTTATGATTGTGTGTACTCTGTAGCCCTTTACAATTTCATTCTTGCACATTAAAGCACTTGTTATGAGCTTTGGTTTTTAAGAAGTAATTGGCAAAATTCGAATCCATTTTTGATTTAGAGGTTGAGACCTTTAAATGACAGTGCATGAAACCAAGTCATTACAAGTCGTCATGTTAAGATAAATACCCGGTTATTCGAAGAACTACAGTATTCGACTGAATATTAAAATAACCTTTATGTTTTTAACAAGAGGCACCAAACCAATCGAACTAAATTACAGGATTACCCACAAAAATAGGAGACGTTTCATGTAGTTTCCTTAGTTTCCTGTAGTTTCCTGTAGTTTCCTGTAGTTTCCTGTAGTTTCCTGTAGTTAACATCCTGTACACGACTTCTTTTCAGCAATCTCATGTGTATTCAATGTTTTTTTAAAACGAGTCATTTTTGTAACTTTAAAACAAACTAACTACGCAAAATGTCGTCTTTCTATTTCACAGTTTTGCGGGTCCGATTGTATATTTATATTTGACAAAGGAACTGATTACTCGTCTCAAAATTAAAAATTTGAGTATTTGATTTCTAGCAAGAATAATAGTTTGACATATCAAAAGGTCTACGACAGCAGGCTCACAAAAGAATACAAAATAGATAGTGATCATTTTTGTATTACAAAATGCATGGAACACAGCGTTAGGAATTCTTCAAAACAGTTCAGTCTTCAAATTGGTTGGACTTGCAAACAAACTGACCTCCTTCCAATTGTACAGAAGACAATGTTTAATTTTTAATCGGAGTACTAAGTCAGCCATGCTCATAATAATAATTCTAAGGAAGTGTTGGACAGATTCAACTCATTTCGATTTCTAAGTAGGACACAAAAATATAAGAATTTCAAACTTTAATTATTTTTTTTCAAAATTATAAATTTTTAATTCATTTCTTTTTTAAAATTCGAAATTTTTTTTATTCCAACGGGTTTTTAAAGTTACGTGGGCACCTCCATCAGCTAATTATCTATATTATTTCTATTTTGAAGATTTTGATGCGCTTGGCGCCCCTTTTGACTGGGTTGTGAGTATAGAAGTAGGAGAACATATCCCAGCAGAATACATGATGATCTATATAGGCAACATTTTTATACCAAAACAATTCAAGTACTGTGGCGTAATTTCAAGAGAAGAAACAATATACGGGATATTGTCAAACAGTCTTATATCTTCAACTTTATTTATCAGATATAGAGATAAAGGGTATCATTGTGAATCAGGCGACGGGTTTTCCCTCTTTTAATGAAAGTTCAAATTTGTATCTTTGCTTTAAGTAAACTGATTAACACTATTTACCCTGGGGAGAAGACCCCCCCCCCCTATAGAGGATAAAAAACTTGGTCGAAAGTTCATTAATATTTGCAACCAAAAAAAAAGTTCACAAATTTCGTTCGTTTGAAACTCTAGGCAAACGTTCAAATCCTTAATTGAAAATTAAACCATCCTAGTCCGAGAAAGTTTTAAAATTTTAGGATTTCATTCTAAAAATTTTCTCCTGTGGCACATAAGTAGATTATTTCTCTAAATCATTATGGGACGTTTATCAAGATGTCCGCCTGCAAACAGTGATTTCTTTTATCTTAGTAATTTACATTATTCTGAAGTATTTTTCAAAAACTTAATAAAAATACAGCACATCTCAACTTTTAAAGTTAGCAGTCTAAGATCTTCAAAGATACGTTAGAGAAACGTTAAAAGATACGTTAAAATCATAAGCCACCCTCCCCCTAGGCCCAACTTTTTACCAAAACAACCCAATTGTGTCTTTAAACAAACAATTGTTATTCTTAGAAAATGGTTGACAGAAGTTTGGTTTATCTCCCTAAAGAATCTGAAGCTGTGAGGAGCAGGATAGATAGGTTGGATTGGCTCAGGTAAAATAATTAAAGAGACTGTGTAGGATAATAGGTTGGATTTGCCCTATCTTTTGGATAGGGTGGAGTTTGTATAATTAAAATTTGGGCTTATAAATTATGCCATTTTTAAAGCAGTCACTGTAGAGGGTGTCCCAAAAAACATTGGAAATCAGTGACGAATTCGATATCGTCTTTGTTATGAATTAGCATTTTAATACCTAATTTCAAAAGCCATAGTATCATTAAATGTCTATAATGTCTCCGCAAGATAATCAGTACATGGACTGACAAGTTTTCTCTGTTTGTATACTGCAATTTCTTGTTTTACTAAGTACACCCGTATACATTCAAAACATAAACAAACAAAATGTGAACATAGCAGACGAAACTCTTACAGATTACAGTTTTCTCAGTAGGTATCGCTATACTGAATCAAAGAATTATTTGAAAAGACGATAGCGAATTCGTCACTGAATTCCCATGTTTATTGGGACACCCTGTATATTCCGGCAAATGTGTTTTTGGCAGTCGATATATATAGTTTTAATGTTTTATTTTTTCATACACTTAAGTTTCCTAAAGTAAAGTTTCACCTTTAAAAAATTCATGTTCCACATTTTGGTTTTCAAAAACATCATGATTTGCGGCCCGGGTAGAATCTTAGAGTCTGAAACCTAGTCTTAGACACCGGGCCGACCTCCTCAGACCCTCTGTTTTTGGAAAAAAATATCAAATTTCACCAAATATATGTAATATGAGCAAAAACCATTAAAATATTTGAGCATTCCTCTCCCCATCCCTTTCTTCAAGCACCCCTCCATATGTCCCAACCCCAGTTTCTGCTGTTTCCCCCCAAGTCTGATAGAGGTCGTTGTTCAAGACTCTCTTCAGTTTTATTATGTATCATATTTCTTCAACATGTGTTATGTCCCAACCCCAGTTTCTGCTGTTTCCCCCC